CGCCCAAGGAGGTCCCCGTGTCCTCGGTGCGGGTACTGAGCGCCTGCGGGGCGGTCTCCGAGGAGATCGAGGTGCTGGAAATGGTGAGGGAGGACGAAGCGGCCCCGGCGTCCCTGGCGATCTCCGACCCGGAGCAACCGGCCACCGAACTAGAGTCCGCGGCCGAGGAGTGCAGCTGGGCCGGGCTCTTCTCCTTCCAGGACCTGCGCGCGGTGCACCAGCAGCTGTGCTCCGTGAACTCGCAGCTGGAGCCGTGCCTGCCGGTCTTCCCCGAGGAGCCCTCGGGTATGTGGACCGTGCTGTTTGGGGGCGCCCCGGAGATGACGGAGCAGGAGATCGACACTCTGTGTTACCAGCTCCAGGTCTACCTGGGCCACGGCCTGGACACCTGCGGTTGGAAGATCCTCTCCCAGGTTCTGTTCACTGAGACCGACGACCCCGAGGAGTATTACGAAAGCCTCAGCGAGCTGCGGCAGAAGGGCTACGAAGAAGTGCTCCAGCGGGCCAGGAAGCGCATCCAGGAGGTAAGTTGGGGCTTCAGTCATAGCTTTTCGTTACTCGTTACCAAAAGCTGGAGCCTCGGTCTAGACTCTCTAGACTGTGCACATTTGGGACACTTGTTTTTCTAGACAAGGTTACAGGAAGACGACGGGTTATTGTGACTTGCCTCCCCCTTCATTCCTTTCAGTGGTAGGAAAACTGACTTTCCTTAACTGGCCCTCTGCAGAACCTTTGGTAAGTCTTTAGGTATCCTCCCCCATTTATCAGATAGGTTCTGTATTGTAAGTGCTCTGTTTATGTACTGCCACTAAGATTAAAGCCACTTTGGAAAAAAGGCGCCCCGTAAATGTAAGCTAAGTGAGAATTTATTTCTCTTTGCTCTCTAAATCTCTTTCTAGCAATAACTACCCAGGCATTAACCCTGGTGTCATTTCTTGGTGTCATGCTCATTTACTCAAAATTGTTTTATGGAGTAAAGTTGGTTTGCTTTTACCTCCATATGTAGTTTGGCAACTTAGGCAAATTGTAAATTCATTGTCCTCCAAGTAAGTGGCCTGTGCAAAGGAAAAAGCACTAAGTGACATTTGGTTGTAAATGTTTTCGTAAAGGTTTTAGACACACTTCAGGAATATTTCAAGTCTTTACAGATCGTGTTTCACTCCTGTTTTAGGGAGAAAAAATGTCCTGGGCAGGAATGTTTAGTATACTTTCGTACTTAGGGATCAAAAAGTAGTGCAGTATAGTGCAATGTGGGGAAAAGATTGGAATGGATATACATAGGGAGTTCTACAATCCATAAATATATATAATTTGAGGTTATGCTTACAGCTTCTGAAAGAACTTCACGGAAAAAGTATTTTCACATATACTCAGTTTCCTCTAATGGACACTAAAAGATACTTTCTCAGAGCAATTTATTATTTTTAGTATCAGTACCAATTGAGGTTGGACTTGGGTAGGTAAGTAGTGTTTATATTCCTGACATTGTGTTGTCATCTGTTAACCTTGTCTATATTTATATAATACTTGAATACTGCTATTGAGGCCAGGAAGTTGGAGCCTTCTGGTTTTTAGAATATGGTCTTTCTTTGCTAGATTTGAGGATTTAGGAAATAACTCTTCCTCACCCCACAGTGTTCTCATACAACTTCCTGAATCCAGGTTTTCACTCCTTCCCATTAGTGTAGTTTATGCTAAACATCACCCACCTGTAATATGATCCTAGCATTCCAGGGTTTTATTTCCTTTGGTATCATCTCCTTTCTGGAGTCTGTTCTACCTAGGATTGTTTTTGTAAGGGACAGAAATCTTAAATGGCCACATACATTCTCTTTAGAGTATTTCTAATATTGACCTGTATTTCATTGAAATTTTAAGAACAAAGTTAGTGCTTCTTTCTCTCACTTGATTTATACATATGTATTATACTTTGTATTTTTTAATCCCTAAGTCTTATAGGCATGTCTGATTTTATTTTATTAATACTCAGAAAAAGTTATTTTGTCCTTTTTTTAATTCAAATTGGGTAAAAATGAAGGCTGCCAAAAGTATAGTTAGTTGCAGTTTTCTAGAACCCTTTCATGGGGGAAGGTGTTTACATTTTTAAAAATGTATTTTTTACTAATAAAGTTATGTTGACCATAGTATTTTATTCTGTTTAATAAAGAAATTTTTAAACTTTTAAAGAAGATTTTGTGTGTTGGGAAACACCTCAAAATAAATAAAATTTAGTATAAATTCATTGAACGTTAAATACATAAACTTTTGGTGCTTCATTTAGTTGACTTGAATAGTATTTTTAAAACAGCTGTCAAGGAAATAAACAGGCTCAGTTTTAATGCCCTCCTGATTTCTATTGGAAGGTTCTGTTGAAATTATGAGACTCAATGGGGGGAAAGTGTGGTGTGATTAATTAGTGATGTCTGCCATGGGCATGATACTGGGGGTGTATAACATACCAGCCATGTTTTTTGTTCCCCAGCTGCTTAAATCTTTGCTGTCTTAATATTTTGCAGTAAATTTTTTTGGTAGGTAAAATCTTTATAGAATGTGTCATTTTTGAGTTATTAATTCTATTGAGTTTAGTAATTACAGCTAATTCGATGTTTTTGTATTTCCAGTTTTCAAGTTGACTTGTGAAGTTGGCTAGTTTTTTAAGCTAGGTGTATTTGCTAAATCAGCCACATCCTTAGGTATAAGTTACTTTAAAAATGTAGTTGTTTGGTCGTGTTATTTCTTTAATTTCTGTGACTCTATTTTCTGGTTTCTTTTTCTACAGAATTGCTTTTCCTATCCATGTAAAGGCTTCATCTTTTTTTTTTTTTAAACCTTACCTGAGGATATTTGTCCATTGATTTTTAGAGAGAGGGAAAGACAGAGAAGCATCAATGTGAGAGTAACACATCAATTGGTTGCCTTCTGCACAGCCCCGGGCCAGGTAGGAGTCTGCAACCGAGACTAGAACCGAACCCAGGACCCTCTGGTCCACAGGCCGATGCTCTATGAACTGTGCCAGATCTGCTAGGGCTAATGGTTTCATCTTAAAAACTACACCTGTTTTTGTTCAAAATGGTCTGTAAATTGTTGAAAGGAGTGTGTGTGTGTTTTTTAATAGAACAGACTGTGCAAATAGATTATAAACTTTTCAAGGTCACTGGCCTTGACAATATCTTGGAATTCTCTTCTTTGCCACCCCCTAGTTCAGGGCCACACATCTTGTGAGCATTCTTAATATTAGTGGACAAAGGACACCAGAGTTTGTTTTTAGTATTGCAAGAATTTAAAGGGTTTGGAAGAAGTGTCCTGTTAATGTCAAGTTGTGGGTAAATAAGTTTTTATAAAATGACAAATGTAAATTACTCAAGGGACCATGCTATTGAAAAGCTAGGAGAAAGATCTCTTAAAAATGTAAATGATTTCCTAACTAAGGGGTCTTTATCTGAGGTTGGTGAGTTCCCTATAAATTGAGGGGAACTATATTTGGACTTCGAGGGCATG